CCATCCATTCATGGACACCTAAGTTGACTCCATATTTTGGCTACTACAAATAATGCTTCAGTGAACACAGGAGTGCAGGTATCTCTTTGACGTTTCCTTTGGATATATATACCTAGGGTTGGTAGTTCTGGGTCATATGGTAGTTTTTTTTGTTTTTGTTTTTTTCTGAGACAGAGCCTCACTCTGCGCCCTAATGACATGGCTCACAGCAACCTCAAACTCCTGGGCTCAAGTGATCCCCTTGCCTCAGCCCCCCGAGTAACTGAGGCATCTGCCACAACACTCAGCTACATTTTTCTATTTTTAGTAGAGATGGGGTCTCACACTTCCTCAGGCTGGTCTCAAAACTTCTAAGCTCAAGTGATCCACCTGCCTTGGCCGCCCAGAGTGCTAGGATTACAGCTGTGAGCCACTGCCCCTGACCCAGTATTTCTATTTTTAATTTTTTGAGGAACCTCCATCCTGTTGTCCATAATGGCTGTACTGATTTACCTTTCCCCCCAGGAGTATGCAAGGGTTCTCTTTTCTCCACATCCTTTCCAATATTCGATATCTTTTTGTCTGTTTTATAATACCCATTCTAATAGGCATGAGGTGATATCGCATTGTGGTTTTAATTTTCACTTCTCCAATTAGTGAAGTGATTAGGGGCATTTTTTTTATATACCTGTTAGCCACTTGTATATCTTCTTTCGAGAAATATCTGTTGAGGTCCTTTGCTCATTTTTAAATCAGGTTGTTTTCTTGCTATTAGTTGGAATTCCTTAAATATTTTACATGTTAGGGCCTTATCAAAGATATGTGCTGCAAATCTTTTCTTTCATTCTGTGGGTTCTCTCTTCACTCTGTTGACTGTCTCCTGGGCTGTGCAGAAGCTTTTAGTTTGATGTCATCCTATGTGCCTGTGATTTGGGGTTCACAAAACCATTGCCTAGACAATGCCATGGTGCTTTTCTCCTATCTTTTTTCTTTTAGTAGTTTTATAGTTTTATATCTTACATCTAAGTGTTTAATCAATTTTGATATTTATATATAAAGTTAGATAAGAGTCCAGTTTCCTGTTTCTTTGTGGGATATCCAGCTGTCCCAGACCCATTTATTGAAGAAACTGTCTTCAATCAACCATCCCCAGACCCATTTATTGACGAAATCTCATTGTGTGTTCTTGGCATCTTTGTCAAAAATCAATTGATGATAACTGTTTGGATTTATTTCCGTGCGCTATTCTATTCCATTGGTCTCTGCATCTGTTTTTATGCTGTTACTGTGCTGATTTGATTACTATAACTCTGTAGTGTATTTTGAATCCAGATAGTCTGATACCTCCAGCTTCATTCTTTTTCCTCAAGATTGCCTTGGCTATTCAGAGTCTTTTGTGATTCCTTACATGTGGTTCCTATTTTTAGCCATTAGCATACATGAGCTGGCCTCATACAGTATATTTATCTTAATCTTAATAAAGTCATGTTTAAACACTGTGAACGCACTAGTTATTTTACACATTTGGCAAGTTGTCCAACTCTGATTTGTTGTAAACAGAATAGAATGGCTTTGATGACCATTTTAGAGCTTCAAAATAGGGGATTTCACAACTGAAAAAGAAGACTGATTATTTTTAAAGGTTCAGCTTTTTACAGGAGAATACTCGAATGCAGGCAAACAGACTCTAGAGTCGCTGAATCCACAAAATCCAATCAATTCTTTGAAAGGGCTCAAATCTTGAGTTCTCCAGGAGGGCTTTCGACCTGGGAAAGAAATTAACTGATGAACATAATTAGCAAAAAAAACTCAAGGAAACAGCACATCCTAATATCCCACGGATTAGTAAGTTTAATTATGAAGAACAGCCTGGAAATTGTTGCTGTTGTTGTTCTGCAAATTTACTAAGCACCAACAGCAAAGTAAGGACCTGAGCACAGGCCCAGAAACCCTGGGCAAGCCGATGCTAATTAGGGCTCTCAGTCACTGGGGAGCCTGCAGGTGGGAGCCAAGCGATGGTGCCTGAAGTCATCAAGAAGCAGAATCCAAAGAAATCAGCTAATGGAGGATGGCAGGAAGACCAAAGTGCATAACGGATTTCATATTTAATGAAGCAAAGGAAGCACAGGGATGACTTATCTTCACTGACATCATAGCCCTTAAGTGACTGGTACAGAATGACAAACAGCTCTAGAGATCTTGCTTTGAATTCTTTAGATTCAATATGCTGCCTAAATAGCAGTGGGAACTAAAAATTCTCAGAGAGCCAAAACCAATGTTTTTCATTGAAGACAGATTTCAAAATACTTTTCTCACTGGCCTTTGGGGAACATGCAGATAAGTTCAGACACTGATTGTCAAATCCAGTCATTATGTAAAATGCTAAACAAATCATTTATCATTCTCCCACCCCATCTATCAATCTCTCTTGTTTTCTCTCTCTCTCTTTCTCTCTCTCTCTCTCACACACACACACACACACCCCTCTCAAATTCTCAACTGCTCATCCCTAAGAGATCTCATCCAGAAATGTCCTGGCCTTCTGAAAGGCTCCAGAACGTGACTAATTGGATACATTGTTCATTCATTAAATTTTATTCAGACTTGACTTGTCCAGATCCCTTAAAACGATCCTCCTTCCTCTGGTTTATGTCAGAATAGAAGCTCCTGATAGCATTTACTCGTGACTTTATATACTTTCAGCAATTTCAGGTAATCGTTCACATTCCTCTACATCAATACAAATGTTTCCATTGTGGTGGTTGTTTGATATACCTTGTTCCCAAAAAGGGCAGAGAATAAATATTTGTAGGGTAGAGACAATCCAGTTGAAGGACACCAACCTGGCAGTACACCAAGAGTTGGGCTGACAGAACAGAAAACAACCAAGCCAGTCTGTCAAATTTCATTTATGTTTCCCAGGAAATAGGAATGTTAAAACAAATGAAATCCAGAAATCACTGAGGGTGGCATTCCGAAGGGCCGACCCATGTGTTCTAATCCATGCAGACAACACATGACTTCTTAGGACTCCCAGCAGCAGCCAGGACTGCACAGGATCCTCAGAAAAGGTGGTACTGCTGCTCCTTCCTTATGTTATTTTGCTGTGCCAGTGATTCAGTCCATTCTTCCCCTTGTCCTCCACCTGCTCTATTGCTCACACACATCCCCACAGCCCAAGGAGAATTAAATGGAAAGCAGAGGTTTCCAATCTTGAAAGACGATAGCATAAAAATCCACCTGGAACACTCCTTTTACATCTGAAATCCTGGGCAAGGCACAGATCTGATGTGTTTCCTGTCCACTATGCCCTAGGCTCTTCAGCCAGAGCAGATCACCTAGCACCCTCTGTGGGTCCCCAAAGGACAACAGCCACCCACGGTGTCCCAGGTGATCCTCCTCTGGAGCATTATGGCTTTTCCTTATGCAGAGGAACTGATCTCACCGTCCTTAGAGTTGCACCTCCACCTCTACCCGGCCTTCAGCTCCTTACACTTGGGGTTCATGCTGGCCTCCCCCCAGCCTGGCTCCACTGAGCCTCACCCCTGGCTCCAGCATCTCCACATTCAAGGCAGGTACTCCCCTGTCATACACCACCTGGCCAGAGGCTGCCCCACAAGGTGGCAGGGGACCAATCTGTACCCTTCTCTCAGGCTACTATAAAACACTGCCAAGTTTTCCTTTGCACCTTGACTACAGAGTGACTCACAGCTAAACTTAATGTTCACATAAATGGGTCATTTTTACTTGGAGTTCCCAACACAACAGTCCCTCCCCTTCTGTTTGACCTCTGACCCCTCTAGCTCAACCATGCTAGCTGTATACCACATTTTCTATAAATAAATGGCATATAAGTAAAGAACTGTTCTTTCCCTGCTTCAGAGGGATGATACAGTTTTAGGGGCAGAAGAGCCCTTAGCAGTCACGTACCACAGTATTTCCCAAACACTAGTTATTGGACCAATTCTGGTTAGTCTATGGCTAACAATCACTGCTCTGAGGAAGAGATGGGAAATGAAGGGCCTATTGAAAATATTAAATATGGGCTAAAGATAAATTTATGACATTCCTATTCTCTTAGTATTAAAACACTTCTTCTCTACTGAAATTATTTTACTAGATGGTAGTTATTCTTTGAAAATAAATCCTTTATTATAATATTTAAAATTCCAAACGCAAAATACCAATAACTGTATAAAATATACACACAGTGAACCCCACATTCACCTTTCCAGCTTTAATCATCAACTTTGTTTAGCAAAAAAAGTTTTAAAAATTGGTCCCCAAATTGTTTTTCCTATGTCACAAAAGCTAAAAGGACGACACCAGGCCAAACCACAAATTTTACAGATGAAACTAAGGGATTAATTCACCTGTCCCCAGTTGTGTAGCGGTCAGGAACAGAACTGAGATCTGTGGGTGTGCCACGATGCCGCTTTGAAAAGTAAGAATATAAACCAATTGCTTTAACCTCGTCAGACTTCAATCTAGGTACATTCAAGAGCTGCAGGAAAGCCCTGCATTTCTGCCCAAGAAACTTCATACACATGAAGCATACAGTCCCATCCAGGACAACCAAAGGGGGAATTCCATCTGTAACCAAAGTTTACCATATCTCATGCTAGAGCAATTGTCTCACAACCCTGGAGGGCTCCAGAAATCACTACCCAGTTTCAGTTCAAAGACTACTGGAAATTTCTGTAGTAATTCCTTAAGCGCCAGGTAAGGAATTCCCCAAAAGATTTATAACGAGAGGGTTCAGTCAGATCAAGAGCCAGCTATTGTTTCCCCTCTTCTAGGCCCCTACCGTCACCCCACCAAACTACCAGGTGTAGGGGAGAGAGAAAATCAGACAGCAACAGGAATACTAGGACCGGGTACCGTATACACTTGCCTCGCAGAACCACAGTGAAGAGTAAATGAGATGGCATAAGGGACAATGTTTTAACATGTTATGCAACTAACCAATGGGAGGTTGGAGGGTGGCCAATTGATAAAAATATCTCTTTTCAAAGACTCACCTTACACTTTATGTAAACAGTCAATTTCCCTGAAGAGATCCTTAAGTATACGAGAACCTCCAGCAGCAATACCTAAAACGATAATAAACATCGTCAGACTCAAGTAATATCTGGGGGAGGGGGGATTCCAAGGTCTCTATTTTGTCATTTCCCTCACACTAAGCAAGAAAGGAAACAACTCAGGAAACAATGAATTTCCACCACCACACATGGGCTGGGAGTTTTCTTTACCGACAGGGAATTGAGGTCCCAAGACACTTATTTTGAAGACCCAAATTATGTTACTGTTGGCCAAGAGACAAAACACATTCTTTTCTTCCCTGTGGTAGGAATGCTTTAATGGCTTTGAATTTAAACAAAAAACAAATACATCCACCCCCCTCTTGGGCCCCTCCCCTAAATGTCTAAAACAGACATCACAGGCACTGCACTCGGATTCTTTTTTAAATTAGTTTACACGAACCGCTCATGTCGTTGGCTTCTTTCTCTGCTTAGTTCCTCTAAAACATCTGTGAGGTGGTCTCTTCTTGCTTCACTACTATTCCCTCGGGGCCCTGAGTTTTATGAGGTATTGGGAACTTGCTTCATGGAGACCCCATTTGAAGCAAAGAAGCATCATAATCAATTGTAGAAATCAACAAAACTACCCAGCCACAGTTAATGAAGCTGGAGTCTGAGTGAGAACATACGTAGGTATCCCGAAACAGACTATAAACATCTGGATGTAGAACCAAGTATTCATATGACACAGACCCATGTTTATGTCATCAAATCTGGGTCAGGATGAGAGACTGGTTGGTTGATTGTGTTGGCTGGCTACTTAGAAAAAAGTCTAGATCTCTCCCTCCCTACTGATGAATAAAATCCAAAGTAAACTCAAATGAGTACTAGAGGAATATGCATAGGGATAGAGTCACAGTGGGGCGAGGGGAACGCTTTTATACTGTTGGTGGGACTGCAAACTCATACAGCCTCTTTGGAAAGAAGTATGGAGAATCCTCAAAGAACTCAAATTAGATCTCCCATTTGGCCCCACAATCCCACTTCTAAGCATCTATCCAGAAGAAAAAAAAATCCTTTTATCATAAGGACATTTGCACTAGATTGTTTATTACAACTCAATTTACAATCACCAAGACGTGGAAACAACCTAAATGTCCATCAACTCAGGAATGGATAAACAAATTGTGGTATATGATACAATGGAATACAATTCAGCCATAAAAAAGACAGTGACACATCTTTTGTATTAACCTGGATGGTGCTGAAACACATTCTTCTAAGTATCACAAGAATGGAAAAACAATTACCCAATGTACTCAATACTAATATGAAGCCAGTAGATGATCTAATGTATGCCCACACAGGAGAAAAACTCATTTCAATTCTAGCTGGGGGGAGGGGGTATGAAGGAAAGGGGAGTAGGGTGGGGTGCTCTCACTGAATGGGCACAGTGTGGGAGTGTATGGCACACCTTTTGAGTGAGGGTCATAACTACAAGAGGGACTCTACCTAACAAATTCAAATATTTTGACCTGGTTGTTTATACTCTCACATTAAACTAAAAAAAAATTAAAAAAGAAATGTTTTATAATAAAGGGATAGGAAAAACCCTTTTAAGAATAGCAGTAAAATAATACAACCGTAAAGGACTGAGATGGTTGGCTAGCTATATTTTGTAAAAATCTAAAATACATGAATGGCAAAAATGAAACAAAAAATTTCACCAAAGAACCAATCCAAATGATCTTAAACCCTCCACCCTACCTTCCAGTAACTGACCCACCTAAACAGGAACCCCATTTATTCAAAATACAGTCAGTCCGTAGCTTAACTCAGAAACACGTTACTTAAATTCTCGTACAAGAAGCTCAGTCAGACCAACACTGAAGCATCAGTAGTCCCAATAACTCCACTCTGTACCCTAAAAGGAGTCTTTATCCCTGTCCCACAGAAAGCAGTTCTGAAAGAGTTCTTCACCCCCAGCCCTCAAAATAAAAAGTGGGGAGCTGTGGGGAGGAAATCCTCACAACCCTGACTGGAGTACAGCCATTCTGGTGGGAAGGAGCAAGCCAGAAACTAAACTGCATGATCACAGCAACCCCTCCCCGGCACCCCCTGCTTCAAGACCAGTGGTCCTGCGAATCAACAGAACAGTAACTTTTACTCTGGCCCCAGCTGGCTGGCCAATTAAGAGAGTAATGCCTAGATTTGCCTTGAGTGCAAAAATTAGTCCCTCTGCAGAAGGGATGACCCCTCTGAGAACCGCTCCCCACATTCAACCCTACTGATGAGGGATAATAAAAGCCTCTTGAAACTATGAGAGCTCAGCTGGCTCGTGGTCACACTCCACTCTGGTCTTTTTCTCCCCTTTCTCTGCTAACAAAGCCTTTCCAATCGCTGAAAAAAAAAATTTTTTTTTTAAAACCGATAATACATTGTTAAAAAATATCATAGGAAAAATATTTATGCTTTTTTTTTTTGAGACAGAGTCTCACTTTGTTGCCAGTAGCGTCATCAGAGCTCAAGGAAACCTCAAACTCCGGGCTCTAGCAGTTCTGTCCTCAGTTTCCCAAGCATCTGGGACTCACAGGCACACATCCACACCTGGCCAATTTTTCTATTTTTAGTAGAGGTGGAGCTTTCGCTCTTGCTTCAGCTGGTCTCAAACTCTGGCCTCAAGCAATCCTCCCATCCCGGTTTCCTCGAGTGCTAGGATTACAGACATGAGCCACTGCACCTGGCCCACTAGGAGTTTTGATGATATACGTCTGAGTGAATAAGAAGCAAATGACCACATGCGTTATTGATTTCCTTTTGCGTGTGTGTGTGTGTGTGTGTGTGTGTGCCTGGATGTCCAGAGACATGTCTTGAAGGATGTTACCAAAATAACTAATAAATTTTAAATGGTTTTTTACCTCTTACAGGATTTGAATTTTAGAAAATGAACATGAATTATTTTCCCAAAGAATGCCATGGAGCTATTCAACTTTTTACACTTGCTCAAGTGTTAAACGATTAGGCTACGTGAATTCCTACTTTCCTTCCATCAACTTCCCTCCTTATTTTGCCAACATCTGTGCACGTGTGCTCATGGTGAGTGCCAAGTAAGACGTTACCTACCCAATCTCCAGCTCCCGCTCACACGTGAGGGCCACTTTCATCCTTGCCTTGGGGTTCCTCAGACACTGCTAGATCCTTATTATAAATCTCCTATTTTTACTTAAGCTAGGTAGAGTTTGTTACTTTAACCAAAGGAATTCCACCCAATACAAAGCTTCTTGTTACCTGCTATCTTCTCAATCATCCCAGGCTATCTGAAAACAAAGTAATAAATCTTGTAGTCACATGAAGATTTATCACACACAATTTCAACTCATGTTTATGCACCATAGCTAAAGTAACTGAAGCAAGAAGCTCAAAGCTAGCATTGAAAACAAGGCAAACAACTATTTCAAGAGACAGGGAGATTCACTCTTAACAAGGGAATTGATGAAGAGGTGATTTGAAGACGAATAAAAACAAAGGAGACATAACTGTACAGATGGGCCGTTCCCTGGGGGTAAAACATTTTCCATTGTAATGTGTTTAACCTCCTTACAGATTTATTTTTATTGTGTTATATTTATACATAAAAAGATTTTTTTCTATTGAGATTATAAAATACAGAAATGTTATCCCCATAATGAGCCCATTATGTTCCTTTTATCTCCAGCAAACAAATTTATTCTTCTCCTTGCCTTATTTTTAAAGGTTCATAATGCACGCATCCTGAGAATACCATAATTACCATCTTGGCTGAAAAGCCATAAGTCCTTGCAGACATACAAGGTGCACTGGCTATGAAGTACGAATCTAATTTTTTGTTTGTTTTTGCGACAGTCTCACTCTGTCACCCTGGGTACAGTGCTGTGGCATCATATCTCATAGCAACCTCAAATTCTTGGGCTTGAGCAATCCTCTTGTCTCAGCCTCCCAAGTAGCTGGAACTACAGGCACCCACCACAACACCTGGCTAGTGTTTTGTTTCTATTTTAAGTAGAGACGAGTCTCACTCTTGCTCAGGCTGGTCTCTTAACTCCTGAGCTCAAGCAATCCACCCGCCTCAGCCTCCCAGAGTGCTAGGATTACAGACAAGAGCCACTGTGCCCAGCTAAGTACAAATTTAATTAACACCCTTCACGTGCTGGTGGTTTCCTCTTCCCCTAGAAAATTTGCTTAGAAGGGAGACAAAGGACAAGAACCACTATCCAATTTCAGAGATGAGCAACTGTGAGACTTAAAGTATTGGTGACTCTAGAACACAGCCAGGGAAGCCACTCAGTGTCCCCTGCTGGCCTCTCTATTCAGAACCGGCCCACAATGGAGATGGAGATGCATTAGGATTTGTGACACAAAACATGGCATTCAAAGAAGGCAATAGTATAGTGGTTAAAAGTGTTGGATCATTTAGTCATTTGGCCTTGGCGTGCCTTAACTTCTCTGTCCCGCCGATTCTTGCTCTATAATAATGCCCATCCAAAGGGCTGACGTGAAGACTCAAGGAGACAGTATACTTGATGCAATCAGCAATGCTCTCTAGCCTGTTTGGGTTTGGTAGGAGCAATGGTAGAAACGCACTGTTCTTCAGTTGATCATAACAAGATCTTTGGAGAATGCTTCAGATCGACTATGTCTTCAGGTAGACGCACCTACCTACCTACAGCGTTTGTTTTTAACATGGATACAATCCATTCAAGTAAATAGAAACTGAGTTCTAGGGTTCCAGGAGTTTGTTATGATAAGTAACCTTGCCCTAAGCGAAAGCAACCTTCTCCAGAGCGTCATGGGAGAGATCACTTAGCAGATCCCACACTGTACCTTTCTGAAGTATTTGTGCCCAGGTACATGAACAGCAGTCGGTAAAAGCTACTTCCTGAAATGCCATCACCAACCTCAGGACAACAGGGTAGGACTTAACTGCTTCTGCTTCCCAGGCTGCTCCCTGCTTGCTTCAGGGAAGCTTGCCGAGTCCAAGGTTGCTCATCCTCAGAGCAGAG